CGCCGGAGCCCAGCAGGTAGAGGCTGCGGTGGCTGGGAGCGGCCACTGCACTTCAGTCTGGGCGACAGAGTGAGACTCCAACTCAAAATAAATAAATAAATAAATAAAAATAAGTAAATAAAAAAATTATCTGGGCATGATGGTAACCACCTGTAGTCCCAGGTACTCAAAAGGCTCAGGCTGGAGGACCGCTTAAGTCTAGGAGTTTGAGGTTACATAGTGAGCTGTGATCACGCCATTGCATTCCAGCCTGGGTGAACAAAGTGAGGCCCTATCTCAAACAAACAAAAGACACTGTACATTTAGGCTACACCTAGACTAAATGTATTCAAAATTTTTTCTTTCTTCAATATAAATTAACTGTAGCCTGCTGTAACTTTTTTTTCAGATTAGAAAATGTAGTTTATTTAGAAAGTAAATGAGAGAGAGAGAGAAAGTAGGTTCACCTTCTGAAAGTAGGGGAGGGGGCCAAAGCTTTGGAAACATGGTGGCAGCCAGAGTTCAAAGAGCACATGGTCACACCAGAGTTAAGTAAGGCAAGGGCCGACTTTTTTACTTTATAAACTTAAAAAAAGCTTTTTGACTCTTCTTTAATAACACTCAGCTCACAATGTGCATGCACATTGTACAGCTGTATAAAAATATTTTCTTTTTTTCTATCCTTGTTCTATACGTTTTTTTGTCGTCCAAAATTTTAAAATTGTGTTTCTACTTTTTAAACTTATTTGTGAAAAGCTAAGACACAAATACACACATTAGGCCTACACAGGGTCAGGATCATCAATATCACTGTCTTCCACCTCCACATCGTGTCCCACTGGAAGGTCTTCCGGGGGAGTGAGAGGCATGGAGCCATCCCCTATGGTAACAATGCCTTCTTCTGGAACACCTCCTGAAATACCTGCTTGAGGCTGTTTTATAGTTAACTTCATTGTTTTATAAGCAGAAGGGGCACACTCTAGATGATAAAAAGTATGGTATAGTTGAATACATAAACCAGTAAGATAGTCATAAATTGTTAGTATCAAGAACTATGTACTATACATAATTGTATGTCCTAGACTTTTATTTGACTGGCAACTCAATAGGTTTGTTTGCACAAACAGGTGAGTAATGTGTTGTGCTGTGTTGTTATGACAACTATGACATCACGAGGTGATAGAAATTTTTCAGCTCATGATAATCTTATGGGACCACTGTTGGATATGTGGTCCATTGTCGACTGAAATGTTATGTGACATATGACTGTAATAACAACTTAAATAAACAGGGAGGAGAGAGCTGAGTTAAAACAGTCTTTTCAGACATTTTGTTTTTATTTATTTATTTATTTTATTTTCATTTTTTTTTTGAGAAAGCAGGATTTATTAAGAGGACAGAAAAGCTCCCACAGTGGGAGGGGACCCAAAGGGGTGGCTCATTTTCAGACATTTTTAGCTATGTTGAGGAAAAGTTTGAACTAACTTTTGTGAAATACATATAATTTTTACATATAGAGACCGGGCATGGTGGGTCATGTCTGTAATTCCAGCACTTTGGGAGGCAGGGGCAAGAGAATTGCCTGAAACCCAGGGGTTCAAGAACAGCCTGGGCAACTTGATGAGACCTCATCTCTACAATAAAAATGAAAAATTAGCCAGGGGTGGTGGTGCAGGCCTGTAGTTCCAGCTATTTGGAAGGCTGAGGCTGTGGTAGCTGTGAGCATGTCACTGTATTCCAGCCTGGGTGACAGAGTGAGACTCCAACTCAAAAAAATATATGTATACATCCATATATGGAAAAATAAATAAATATAAACATACATAAAACATATATAAATAAATATACATATACATATATATGGAAATAATCTAAGCATGACAGAAAAATACATGAATGTGAGTCCCACTCCCCCAAATGATGTCGATTTTACATTTCTAGAAGAGAAAAAGCAAGTGCAAGTACTTTTAGAGGTAGTTTGTGTAGTGGCTGTGAACACACACTCTGGAAACAACCTGCCTGGGTCCTAGTCCTGGCGCTCCCCACTTATCAGCTGTGACCTTGGGTGAGCTACTTAACCTCTCTGTGCCTTGGTGTCCTTGTCTGGAAAACGAGGCTGACAGTGACATACCTAGCTTGTGAAGATCATACTGTGCATTAAGGGCTTAGAATGGACCTGGCGCACAACCAGCATGATGTAAATCTAAGTGGCCTCTGTCATTCTTGCCACAGAAAGAACCAAGGGTTTTGCATAAGACACTGAAAGAGTGCACTCAGTG